CCACTCATCAAAATGGTGTAGGATTCCTTGTTGATGGAACAAAGCAATTATAGACAGAGCACTCAAAAGATAATTTACACAAAAAAAGCAGATTTCTGAAAGTAAAATGAAAGTCAAAAACTATTACAGATGCTACCTTGCTGAGTCTCAGAAAATACATCCTTTTATTTTATGGTAGACAATGGTACTCACAGGGTGTTCATTACAGCCAGTCAAAGCAAGCATAAGCCATTGTTAAATGAGTTTGGGCTTGTGAATGCAGCTAAATCATCTTGACTGGCAGCTATATTATTACTTAGCATTTATGTAGTGCTGTGCATAAACATCACTCTCAAAATTTTTGATTGCACAAAACTTTTGAAAGCCATCTGGAATCTAGAAACTTTTTCAGATACGAGGAACAACAGCACTGGAAAAATGGTGGAGAAGGGGCAAGAGAAGAGAGAGCATCTCGAACATTCACCAGTCTGCACGAAATATTCGTTTAATCAGCTGAAAGAGGTCTGAAAAGTTTCAGTGTGGATTTTGCAGGGAAAAAACCTATAGTTCAGTGGGGAAGACAGAAAGCATCAAAAACTAGTGGAAGTGCTTGGAAAAGGTCAAAAGTAAAGAAGTCCAAATGTTACTCACATGTACGCAGCCAGAAATCTGTTAGAAAACCCATCTCTGGCCAAACTGCTCCCACATTGAAAGTCCTACTCGTTTCCCTTGTAAAGGGAAAAAACAAAGCTGACAAAAAAAAAAACCCCAAACATGTGGGAGGCTGGCAAGGAAAGAAATCTTTTGCACAGCTTCATCATGATTATCTAATCTGACCTCCCATATAATACAGCTTAAAGGATGTCGTCTGCTAAATCCTGTCTCAAACGCGTAACTTTTGGTTAAATGACACTGTATCTTTAAGACAGATATCCAGGTTTGACCTAGAGGTCTCAAAGAAAACGACTATATTCCCAAGAATTTGTTCCAATGGTTTAATACTTTCGCTGTTAAAATGATGTGCTTTATTCCTCATCTGAATATATCTA